GGAAGGGCCCATATAGCCCAGAGGGGAGTGGAACAGGTGAACAGCTAGAGCAGAGGGACACTGAGCTCCCCTGCACAGGCTTGGCAGAGGGACAAACTCATGCTGGCTTCCAGAGCCATGACATTTTTTTTTTTTTCTCTTGAGCTGTGCAGAACCTGTCTGTCCTGAAGCAAGTGGGACAGGAGAACCAGTTGCTTTGGGCCCAAAAGGCTATTACTTCTGGCTTTAATGGTGAGTCCTTACTCTTATGAGCTGCCCCAGTGTGACCTCTCAGAGAACTGACAGTCACACAGAGCTCTGAGCATCTGAGCCAGCTTCCTGGGCTGCTTTGATCTTAGTGGAAAAGAGGACTGTGGACAGGCAGGCGGTGAGCTGGGCAGGTGCTTAAGCATGGCTTCGAGCTCCAGAACATCCATGAACCCCACACCTGGAGGCTATGGTCCCACAGCATTGGTGGACAGCCCATTGACTACTCCAATCACGGCGCCAGTCTTCAGAGTATTAGGCTGTCTGTAAGAGCTGTTGCCTTGGCCAGCTGCATGTCTCGTCTACTCTGAGACTAGGCAGAGAAGCCATGGGGACATTTTTCTTAGTCCCAGCTGCCATATTCCCTACACCAGACTCTGCCTCAGCCTAGCTCCTCATTGTCCACCTATGGAGGCCAGGCCCTGGAGAGGCTGATGTAAATGTTATCCATGTGGCCTCCCCACAGCTCTGGAGAAGATTCTGCAGAGCACAGCAGGGAAGTACTGCGTAGGAGATGAGGTAAGTGTCCCTGGACCTGCCCACTGTGGCCTTCATGCTGATCTCAGGCCATCATTTCTCCCACTTAGACCCAGTCAGTGTCTTATCCTAAGGAGATACCTGAGGCCAGCCTCCGGGTACCAACCTTTGCTCTGAGCAGTCAGTTTGTGCAAATGCCTCAGCTCCCTCCCACACTGCCTCTAGAGTAGCAGTTCTCAATCTGTGGGTCGCGACCCCTTTGGGGGTCAAGTGAGCCTTTAACAGGGGTCACATATCCAATATCTTGCATATCAGATTTACATTATAATTCATAACAGTAGCAAAATTACAGTCATGAATTAGTGATGAAATAATGTTATGGTTGGGGGTCACCACAACATGAGGCGCTGTTTTAAAGGTGCAGCACTAGGAAGGTTCAACTCCTGCAGTAGAGGTATTGTGAGGTGTCCAGGCTAGAAGAACACACTTCTGACTCAGTGAAGTGGTCCAGGCATCAGCTGAAGGGTTAGACTATCCCTTCCTTCACAGCCCAGAGATTCTAGGATTACAGAGCCCTGGATGCCTGTAGAATAAGGCCTTGGGCCTGTGCTAGTCTGGTTCCATGGCTCCTTATCTGCTAAGAGTCCTCATTAAGTGCCTAGTCGGGTGGCTTCAACAAGCACAGTGATAGCCACTAAGGCAGTTAGGCCTTCTCTGCATACCACAAGGTTGGTTGTCAGGGAAACCAGAACATGACATTGGAGAAATACTATAGCTCTGAGTGACAGGGACAGGCAGTTGCAGAGGAGACAGTGAGGGGGTGCTAGGGATGGTGGGAAAACGAGGCTACAGGAAGTTGGATTGGCAGCCCTGGTACAGTCAACAGTGGGTACAGCCAGCCGCCTTGTCAGTGAGTCTAGGTGATAATCCTTGTACAAACTCCCCTGACCTTCCTTTAGGTGTCCATGGCTGATGTGTGCTTAGTGCCCCAAGTGGCAAATGCTGAAAGGTAAGAAAAAGCTCTGTCCTTCTCCTTCACATTCCCCCTCCAGTCAGGGCCTCCACATCTACTACTGAGATAGTGTCTCATGTGAACCCTTCTTTAGCTGCCGAGGAGCCACTGCACCAGGCTATATCAGCTGCCCTGGACTAGCATAGACATGGCAGAAGAAATCATTGAAATACCCCTACCATTCCCACTATAGCCTGGGTGACCCTGTACAGACAGCCATTGCTTCTTAGAGGAGGTGGCTTATCTAAGGGAACAACTCCCAAGAACACTGCTGTACCCAAATGTGGAGTGTCTGCTTAGAAGTGAGCTCTGGGACTCCCCTCCATCAGCCCGCCGGAAGGCATCGTGCTTGCTCTTTAGAATATGGGCAGGAATGGTGCATTCCCTCCCCTAAGAAGCTAGTAACATGGATGATGGGTCAGTCCATTCAAATGCCTGACACCAGAATTCAGAGCAGTCATTTCTTCGAGAAGAGGAGGTATATGATGTTAGAAGATACCACTCCAGACCTACCCAGAGAGTCCCAGCCAGTGAGGCTCCCCATGTGGCAGGGCTGCTTCTGTCCTTGCACTGCAGCCCCTGACCTTATCCAGCCCTGCCTCTATTTCCCACACTGCCCACAGCAGTGTCCCAGAAAGCCCTGGCTTACAGATGTTTCTCTGCCACAGGTTCAAGGTGGACCTAAGCCCCTACCCTACCATCAGTCACATCAACAAGGTGCTGCTGGCCCTGGAGGTTTTCCAAGTGTCCCACCCCTGTCGACAGCCCGATACACCTGCCGAGCTGAGGACTTAGCTCCCAAACCATGCCCCATTGGTATGGTGAACAGAGTAAGGCTCACACGCAGGATGTCTTAGGGTTTCTACTGCTGTGAAGAGACACATTGACCATGGCAACTCTTAAAAACAAAAACATTTCATTGGGGCTGGCTTACAGTTTCAGAGATTCAGTCCATTATCATCATGGTAGAAAGCAAGGCAGCACGTAGGCAGACATGGTGCTGGAGAGGTAGCTGAGAATTCACATCTGGATCCAAAGACAGCAAAAAGAGAGAGTGACAGTGGGCCTGATGTGAGCAACCTGAAACCACAAAGCCAGTCTCCAGTGACACATTTCCTCCAAGAAGGCCACACCTCCTATTAGTGCCTATGGGGGCCATTTTTAGTCAAACCAGAACAGGCCCAGAAATGAGTCGTAGCAGAGGACACTCAAACTTCAGCTCTTTCCTCAGGAAGCAGCAAATTCATGAGTCCATGGTATTTCTACCAGGTCCCCATATTAGAGTTTTCTCTAACGAAATGAAACCAGTAGGATATATCTTCCTTCTGCTTGCACTGTAGCCCCTACATTCTGCCTTAATCCTCTTATCTGTCATGTGTTAGGAAGGGGTTAGGCAGAGACATGACCTGCTCTAACTGCTAATGCTGATTGTCAACTTGAAATAAAGGTAGAATCACCAGGGAGAAGGGCCTTTGTGAATGTCTGTGGGGGGTTATATTGGTAATGTTGAGGTTGGAACTCACCCATCATGGGTGGTACCATTCCCTAGGCAGAGGATCCTGGGGCCCAGAAGAAGAGAGAGAGAGTGGAGCATCCACCATGTGTGCATTATGATCAGCTACGAATGCTGATGCCTTGACTTCCCTGCCATTGTGGACTGTAACCTAAAACTATGAGCTAAAATAAACATTCTCTCCTTTAAGTTCCTTTTGCCATGGACATTTTATCACAGCAACAGAGAAGAAACCAAGACACTTGCTATCTGTCATGGGGCAGCCACAAAGATGACACGAGGATGCAGGTTAAAATGCCTGGCAAAGCTGGGTGGTCATGGCTCACATCTTTAATACCAGCACTTGGGAGGCTGAGACAGCTGGATCTCTGTGAGTTCAAGGCCAGCCTGGTCTACAAAGTGAGTTTCAGAACAGCCAAAGTTACATATAAAGAAACCCTGTCTCAAAAAAAAAAACAAGCCTGGGAGACTTATAGAAGTGTGATAAGGAAGTCTGAATGCCTTCATTTCTTATTAATCTGACTCCAGAAAACATTTACATTGAGTTTAGTCATTAGTTGAAAGTAGGCCTCCAACTTGTTGAGCTAAGACTGAGCTGGGTTTCAAAAGATGAACATTCCCACTGGCTGGAAACCATGTCTGGACTCAGTAGAATAACTCATTAGCCTTTTTCTCACCCTAGGGCAAACTTGGCTTCTAACACCAAAGGCCAGGAAGAGAAATGAGCACAGAGCCTATCTGAGAAAACAAGATCTAGGGAGGGAAGATTTACGAAGCAGGAAAGCATCTAGGGACCAGCTGGGCTCCCAGCTAGGAGCTGCACTGCCGTTCAATGTCCACACCGTACAGAGACATTTGCTGGCATTCTCCACCCATTACTCACCCTAAGGAGAAGCCATACTCCTGAACTAGTCCCAGGACTAAGCACACCGAGGAAGTCCACTCATGAATGATGCTGGGAATGGGAACTAGCTCCCTTCCTGTGTAATGTAGACAGCTTGACCATCTCCAGCTCATCATCTGTTTCTCCCCATGGAGTGCTCTGTACAGAGTATGTATAGTACTCTGATCAACAGCACTGCCGTTCTGTTTGCAATAAACCCACCATTACTATAAACCTAATTTCCCCAAACTCAGCTCCCATTTTATAATGTTCTGCCACAAACTTATCTTTATGTTCTTAAAACGTTTATGTGTAGGGTTGTTTTGCCTGCATATATGTATGGGCACCATGTGCATGCCTGGTATCTGAAGAGGTCGAGGAAGACAGGTGATCCCCTAGAACAGGAATGACATGGCTTGTGAACCACTGTGTAGGTACTGGAAACCAAACCCAGGTGCTCTGCAAGAACCACCAGTACTTGTAACCACTGGGGTCTCTCTCCAACCCTGAAGATTTCACAGTTGACTTCCATGTGGCGGGTTTTGATTGCAGGTCTGTCTGTCTGCCACGCATGTGCAATGTCACTGCAGGCCAGAAGAGAATATCACATTCTCTGGAACTGGAGTTACAATGTTTGTGAGCCACTGTGTGGGTGCTGGGAACTCAACCTGGGGACTTTAAAGAGCAGCAAGTGTTCTTGAGGGCTGAGCTATCTTTCTAGCCCCTTTGGCAGGAATTTACATATAGACACTCATTTTAGTCTCAGTTTTTCTTAATTTTTATAATCTTACATTATGAAAGATTCACAAGAGAAAATGATGACGTTTCAAACAGGCAGCAGTTGGGCTTATTAAGATAGAACTCAAGTATTTTAGGTGCACAGTGAAAAAGTTTATTCACGACAGATTTCAAAACTTGGAAAAGAAGACAAAAAATGCACAAAAGCATCTCACAAAACTATCACATAATATAAAAACACCAGAACTGAGCTGCTCAGGATTCATCCATGTATCACAGCAACACACTCAGTGCCTTCAGGTGAGAAAATAGAGTCTGACCGAAGAAACACCACTCAGTGGAACAGAAGAACTAAGTAACAGCTGATACAGAGTTCTTAACATGGAAACCATACGTGTGGACAGCATTTCTCATGACAGGGCGACATAGAAAACAAGGTGACTCAGATGGATGGTTAGTTTGGATTTGTTTGTATTTCTAAGAAAAACGAGAAGACTGTGTGGTAGTTTCCCTCCCAGACCTTTGGTAACCTTGGTTGGCATCAGCATATGATATGCAACAGTAAGGAGAGCATGTCTTCATGGTTGTCAGCTGCTTAAACATTTACCAAGAAAACACAATCACTTTCAACCACCAATGGGTCAGACAAGAGAATGGCTCCAAAGCAGCTCTTTGGATGTCTAAGCAAATGGCATGGCGTGGTTTAGGAAATCTCCAAGCACCTCCCTGCCCTCCCATTAGCCTTAGCCACTCTGCTCTCTAGACCTATCACTTTGATTACAAAGCATTTGCAAATGCTTTTAGTTTTTATTTCAAAGCATCAAACATTTCTTCTGTGGGTTTCAAAATACTTCCCATTATTAAGGGAACGTGGATATACCACCGTCATGCATTACAGGACTGCCTTTTCCAGACTGGCTTGTTCTCTAACAAGGCTAACTGGAAATAACTCAGACTGACTAGATGAAAGCTAATTCACTTATGGAACAATAACCTCAAAACAGGACACAGATGTATTTTTAACATAAAACGTCTTAATAAAATGTACTGCTAAGGAGATGAAGGAAGGAATTAAGATAATGTTTTCTAGATGAGTCCTGGCCTGAACCTAAGAATGAACAATGACAATGACAAGGAGCCATTAAAGACCAGGCGTGTCAACCCTGAGTGGTGAGGAGGACCCCTTAAACCGACAGTGAGTTAGGGGCTCTTCAGTAAGACTATACATTATTCAACTTCAAACTTCAGACTCTTTCACAGTCCTGTCAGAACTTTAGAAAATATACTCTCTCCCCATAAGTCATTTTAGATACACAATTTAACCTCCAGATAAGCCAAAAAGCTTCCGAATTAAATGACAGGAAACTGAAGTTTCATAAAGCAGAGTGTATTTCTAAGTCTCTGGGGTGCCATTTTTATTGTATATTAGAATGAAGAGCCATGCCAATAGTCTACATACTAAGAATCAGATCATGGGTTCAAACCAGGGACCAGCCCTACAATTTCACAACCAGTGTACTGTCTTTGTACTTAAGTTTATCAGGAATGACTATTTGTAAAGAAGCCAGATTATCGATACCCTATCAAGCTTTATGTCATTGATTGTGTTTTCTTAGCTTTGAGACAGAGGTTCAGAGTCTCTGGTTAGTCTTCTTGGTTCAAGAAAGCAATATTACATCTCAGCGGCAACAGTGACTATAATCAAGTCACAAAGTGCTTACAGTGTTTCTCTGCACATTGGATCACAAGTTGCTCTACTTGCATCACCTAGATAACTGGATCTTCCTTGGGAATGCCCGAAGGCGCCTGCAGGTGTTAGATAAGCTACACAAAGACAAGTCTGTCAGTGACCAGCATCAGATATACAGAGACCCCTTCTGCCTGCGCGTCACCCAAAATGCCACCAGGACCAAAGAGTGCTTGCTTGGGTCAGTGGGGATCAAGATACCCAGCTTGTGCCTGGGTTTTGATCCTCATTTTGTATTCCCTAAAGAAGGAGTGAGCGGCTCCCTGACCCCAGGTACACAATTAGACACAAGGACTTGCTTTTTACAGAACCCATACCCTTTAACGAAGTGCCCACATAGCAGCAAGATGAAAGCTCACTTTTTTAAACAGCGAAGAGTCTGAAGGGAACATGTGAGTCCCTTTTCCCAAAGTGTAGACATTCTATGCTTCTGGCTATGGAAAAAACTAGGGACAGAGGCTAATGTGGATGTTTAGTCTCAGGAGAAACTCTAAGTAGAAGCCCTGATAAAGAAAACTGTGTGTGGTTTGCTCTGTATGGGTATACGGTGTCAATGCTGTCAGGCGAGGGAGGCCTGCTTGTTACCCCGGCACTCATATGACTGTAGGGCTTGTGGTATTGGACAAAAGGCATCTTATGCCTTCAAGGACACATTCACAGCTGTGGCTTCAGCACCACAAGTGGAACTGACTCTCTCTCTGGCCCCAAAGGATGGAGACAGGAAACCAATCCTCAGGTCAGGGTTACATGAAGTAGAGAAGACCTACCCATAAAGGCATACAGCTGATGCTCCTAACAGATGGCGGCACAGAGGGCTGGAGGGTTCTCCACTGAACACAACAAGAACCAGTAAGTCTCTGGCTTACAAAACAGTTCCAATGAACAAAGTAGCACTAATGCACTAAATGAATTCTGGGACACACGTGATGGTTTATTCCCTCTCCCAGCCTCTGTTCTATCCAATTTTAAATGAGCACCCTTTACTGTCCATTTAAAAGGCAGTTCTGAAGCAACACAAACTTAATTTGTGCTCCCTTTTCTCTGTCCACTAAAAACATCTTCTATATAATTACTAGGGTCGCTCAATCCCACACCTTAGAACCATGGCCTATGACATTAAAGGCAACCTTTTGCAGAGTGGTTTTTAAACATAAATATACAATCACAGACTTTAGGATTTGGATTTTACCCATTCCTCACAAAGAAGGAACTGAGTACAACTCATCAAAATCAAAATGAATATATTATAAACTCCACAATAATATCTAATCCCATGTATATATAAGTTACAGGTTAACTTGTCTGTATTCATATAATGGAATAATATATACTTCTTTAAAAGTCCATTTAAAGTGCATGAATCCATCCATAGGAAAATAACTAAGAATAGTCTACTTTCAAGCTGCTACCTGTTTCCATGCGTCTGAGGAGTGGGTTTGCATGTGAGCATCCTGAGGATGTGTCAGAAAGCTACTGATGGGAAGGAAGGCTTTCCAGCACAGCTACACAGTTACCTTAACACCGACAGGCAGAGAGGCTACAACCTGAAGGAACGGACAGCTGGCTTTCTGAAAGATGGAGGCTGACAGCCATTTTTGTGAAGACCTTGTAGGCAGCCAGTGTTGAATAAAAGATGTGTGTAAGCAGGGCTCTCTGACAGAGAGTCGACGCTGGGTACAGGGGACATCCTCCAAGTGGATGCTTGTCAAAGGAAACTAAAAGCTAGAATCTTTGTTTAGAAACTGGCAGTTTGTAATTTAAAAATATATGTGGGATGTAAGTATATGCTTTTTTGTTTGCTGAAATTTTTCATAATAAGATGTTGGAAAAATAGCATTTTAGATATGTCTTTTTAAAAAGCTTTGTCTCAACAAAGTAGCAAAATTAGACAAATTGAAAAAATTTAAGAACTCAGCCACTCTGTGAAGAGAATCCTAGTCTCTGCTCTCTTAGAGCTCCCTTCTTTAACTGCATAGTATTTATTTGTGCTCTAGAGAGCAGGGCAGGATAGAAGCAGATCGTTTCTTTCATTGTTTGATTCTTTAAACTTGAAATGGAGGGACCAAGAAATTAACACTTCTTAGAACCTTCAAGGAATGTGTTCTGTGTTCTCCATAATTACCCGAGTTTCAATAAATAATACTTTGTTTCTCACGTTCTCTTATTGCAAAAATTTAGTGCACGAAGAATGAATGCGTCATACTATGGACACGTCTTCCTTTAGGTATTTTATGTTCACAAGACAAAACAAAAACGAAAACAACCCAGCTGAGGAAAAATCAGTAAGAAATATCTGTTGCCCAGCAAGTGACAGGTGCATAGAGAGATGGGGAGCCCCTCAACTTCCCTGCTATGCACTACTACAAGAAGACAAGCCTAAGGAAAGACAAGATGAAGCATGCTAGGGAAAGCCCAGGGGCCTTGCTACTGGCTGAGAGCAGTCAGGGGTCCACAACAAACTAGAGAAGTAAGGAGACTACCACTGACGTGGGAATAGCCTCAAAGAGGTGTTTCTTTGTTTCTTTTGTTTTCTTAAACAGAGAATACACTCAGTCAGTAAAAGCATGATTTAACTTCAACTCAGCCATCTGATGCCATGATCATGATGAGCAGCAAGTCTGTTTCACTGCCCAAATAGTTTACTAATTCTTAGAGGGCAGATGAATTTTGGCCAATATCCCTACAAAGCACATCTGCAGTGATGAAAGAATGGCGGTGTGGTGCTGACTGGCCACTGAGAGGCCATGGCAGGCCATACAGCCCACGCTTCGCTTCCCAGCTGACAGAGCTGCAGGATACATTCCCTTTGCTCCTGACCACACACCTACTGGCAAGATTCTGCTCTTTGGGTGATCACTCCTGTAGGGCACAGAGGCTTGGTGTGAGGCAACCATGAGATAAAAAAAGGAATAGCCAACAGAAACATTATGAAGAGGTTGTCATACGAGGAAAAGGACTTTTGCATCCTATAATCATGGTGCTCGGTTTTCTCTGACTCACCAGTCAGTTCTTTAAGTCAATCTGCATCCATCACACTGAATAGAATCCCTCAGTGGGAGCACTGAGTGTACCTGAAAAGGACTAGGTTGGAGTCCTCCATCTCTGAAAGAGCAGACTTCCCAAAGCATCCCAGGGCTGGCGTATTGAAATGAACACACATGATCATCTTCCAAGCCCTAAAGGGGTGGCCTTGGTGGCTCAGAGCAGATGGGAAACCTTATGAGAAACAGACGGGAGCTGTCTCAAAGGCAATCTAAAATGTGCTTTAAAAGACATAAATAAAGTAATAAATAAAACTATTTATTCAAAATTCAGAAGAATGGCAGATGACACAGACTGGGAAACAGAGGTGCGGATGGCTGCAGAGGCCCATGCCCCACTGTGTGCCTGCTCCACCTGAGGCCTTAGCACCTGCTGCTCTGTGGCCACCCACTACAATACAACTACATTCTGCCTCGTCAGAACCTCAGGATGAAGACTGTGAGAGGCTGGCGCCTGCAGGCTTTGGTCAAGTAAGGAGCACACACAGTCAGCAGCAACAGCAAAGTCCCATGATTACTTTCCCTAAGAACCATGAACACCAAAAGCTTTTCATCCTCAGTGTAAAAAACACAAACCCAGAATCCCTGCAAATCTGACTGGGTTTCACTGTATTTGGTTCCAACCAAATCTTTGTAACACACATGGCCTAAGACAGGGGGGTCTGGGGGACTAATACTTGATTTCCAAAAGGGCGGGGTCTGAGATAAACTCAGTGGTCACCTTCCACCCTTTCTTCATCAACTACCAGCACCCTTAGTAAGGGAGGTAAGTCTGGGGACAGGAAGTGACAGAGGCCACTTTTTTTCTCTTGGGACACTGACCATGACTTGCAACTACTTGGAGGTTCTTGCTACATGGCAGAAACACAGACTTGGTAAAGAGAAAGGAGGAAGGGTCTAACCATCAGGAATAATAATTTCCATTCAAGGCAGTGAGGTCTCCCAGCCTGAGCCAGAGACTAAGAATACCCAGCAGGCAGGCAGGAATATGGCAGTGGTGAGAGGCTGGATAGAGCATTCTCCATCCAAGATATTGGGCTCTTTCATAGACAATGTGCTTTTCCCTCTTCTGGCACCTTGAAATGTAAAGAAGGTAGGTGCTACTAAGTACATTGGCATTACAGGCTCTGGAGAAGAGTGAGCGGCAACCTGAATGATGAGCTTTACAGAGTAAATCAAGTTTTTAAGACATCCTTCTACTTCACTTTAGGCTTTTGCCTCATAGGAGCCTTCTGAGAGGGTTTTTGCTGGAGTCGGAAAAAGAGTGTGAGTCAGGGACCATAAGACAGGAGCACTACACCACCACCTGCAGAAGCCAAGAAAGGGGAAGAGCTACATGGGGTCAGTAGTCAGGCATGCCAGGCAGGGCACGAGGCTGCAGGGCCCCACACAGAGCTTTAGGCTCTTGCTTACACACAAGAGGCACCGCTGGCAGCCTGCTTCAGCCAGGAGACAAAGCCTGCCCTAGCCCAGCATCCTTCAGCTAGTGTAGTAGATATGGAAGTAGAGAGTCTTGTTGCGGAGCAAGGAATACGAGTTATCAAACTTGAGCAAATAGATGCCCTCCCCAGGGTAGTCATGGCTGCCAGCTTGCACGTCTCGGTGGCTGTCCCGCCGGTACACAGGCATCACCTCCCCATAGCGGCCCCGTAGAGAACTCCTGGAGCCTCTCTCCACATCTCCCACAGGGATGGGTTCTGTAGAAGCAAAAGGGTAGAGTTTAGATATGAGTTTATAGACTGAATACATCCTGCCTGAAGGTGAGAGAGTGGTTCTCTCATGGGGACTCTGTTGTCTTCCCACATGCACTAGGAAAAGGCCACAGATCTTGGTCATCAACATGACTGTGGAATGAAACTGGCATCCAGTAGCCCAGAGTCCAAGAGTCTCAGTAAACAGTAATGCCTTCTTTGAGAAACCATGATCCAGCCTGATAACCTTAGAAGTGTCTGGTTCCCAATGGGGAAAAGCTACTTAAAAGAGTAACACCTGGAAATCCTTACAGTCCATGAAAGGAGTAGCTAACAGAAAGGAAATGCAGATAAACAAATTGTATAATGTGACCCTAAAACCTCCACTTGGTGTCCTAAAAAGTAGCAAATGTCATAAAAGGTCCCTCTTGTCCCTAAATACATATGCATTTCCTGGTAGACTTAAAAAAGCAAGTGAGGAGAATGATTCATGGTCACACATCAAAGCTAAGGACTACAACGAAACCTCAGAGGTTACTTCTAGGTTCCTCTTTATTTGTTGAATCTCAAGTAGACACAACAAATAACAAGAATGGAGCAGAGAGGAGCTTGAGCAATGGCTCAGTGCTTAAGAGCACTGACTGCTCTTCCAGAGGACTCAAGTCCCAGCACCCACATGGTGGTTCACAACCATCTGTAACTTAGGTCCAATGGATCAGATGCCCTCTCCTGACCTTCACAGGCACCAGGCACATGCGTGGTACACAGACTACAAGAAGGCAAAATATGCACATAAAATACAATAGTTAAAAAAAAATTTCTAAAGAATTAAAGAATGGAGCAGAGACCACTACTCTTAACATGAAGCAAAGAATTTGTATTCTGCCAGCAGAGGGCGTTTGGAGGAAAGGGGAGAAAGAGGAGAGGGGTGCTTTTAGTGTAAGCCACAGAGTGTGGCAGAAAGTCAAGATAAATATTCCAAAACAAAGAGAGAAAAAATGTAATCTTGGGTTCCAATGTGATCTGTAAAGCCCTGTCACCCATCAACACATGTGGAGAAAGGGGAAATAACTAGGTACTTGTTAAAAGAGGGAGGAGTAGGGGGGTAAAGAGGGAGGGGCCCACCAAAGCATCAATACAAACCCCAGCAGCTTGCAATGCTGCCTTGCATTCTGAGTGGGAAGAGGAATGCTACAACCCATGAAGCAGTCACTAGAAATTAGGTCGAGCAAAATGAATGAAAATTAAATTTACCTTCAATCTCCTCCTCTTCCTCCTCTTCCTCCTCCTCGTCCTCGCTGGAATCACTGACCTGCACAGTTATATCAGTGCTGGTAACCGGGGTCCAGTCAAAATAAACTCCGAAACCAATATCATAGTCATCAGTTGCGAATTCCCAGCAAACACGCTTTCCCTCAGGATGGGTGGGGACCCGGATGGTGACTACTTCTCCTCGCTTCACTACCAGACGGCTGTTCTTCTCCTTGCCCAGCTTGCTTTTGAACTCCTTCACTTTGGCAAAGGTCCAGATGCACGGAGGAGCCATCAGAGGTGGAGAGACTGAAAGGACAGACAGCTTACTACTGAGAAGCTGAGGAAACGCCCCTGACCCACCATGTTGCTAGGTTAACGTACAACATTCTCTCTAAGGGCTTCCATCACTTCCACAACTCGTTTTCTTTCCTTCCTTCTGGCTTCCATCCTTCAAGCATCTATTGGAAATGAAGAAAACATTTTCTATGCTTCCAAAGGTCTCACCTTTCCTGTGGTCCCCCAGAAGATCTGCCGATTCCAAATCCGCTGAAAGAATATCGACAGCCCCAGTGTGCTCAGACTGGATCATAACTGTGTCTTCGGGTCGCTGTGGAGCTTGGTATTTGGCCATCTACACAACAGAATTCTGGTTAGAGGACTTATGATGTCAGATTCCAATTAGCATCTTTCCAAATGCAGGCTGCCCCGCCCCTTCCCTGATACCACACCCAGAAAGTTAGTGTGCTAATCAACATTGTTTCTTTCTCCACATTCCCAACTGCAAGGCTGCTCACTCAACAATTACTTCTGTATCACCTCCAGCCACCATATTTACCAAAAGCATTATAGAGAGAGTATCTGGGTTCAAATTTTCCTCTCTTCCTTCCATGTTCTTTCCATCACTCTGAGTCCTTCCCTATTTCTCCCTAATTCAGTCCCCAGGCTACACGTTGTCTCCCCGAGTTTCCCTAGCGATGTTCTTTAAGAGTGTGTGTGTGTGTGTGTGTGTGTGTGTGTGTGCGCGTGTGTGCGTGTGTGGTCACGTATGTATGGGTGCCTGCAGAGGACAGCAGAGGACGTTAGATACACTGGAGCTAGAGTTACAGGCAGTCGTGAGCCACCTGATATCAGTGCTGAGAACCAAACACAGGTCCTCTGGAAAAGCAGCAACTGCTCTTAACTACTGAGCCAGGGACTCATCTCTAGCTCCACAATGTTCTCGTAATAATTACAAGTTCGCCAGGCAGTGGTGGTGCACGCCTTTAATCCCAGCACTTGGGAGGCAGAGGCAGGTGGATTTCTGAATTCGAGACCACCCTGGTCTACAGAGTGAGTTCCAGGACAGCCAGGGCTACACAGAGAAACCCTGTCACAAAAACGAAAAAAAATTACAAGTCCACTTTAAGTCAGCCATAGGACTGTTCTGTTTGAAAAGTGTGTTTACTGCCAGGTACCCAACTTGCATAAAGGAATACAAATGGCATCTGATACAAAATGCCTCACTAATTCACACAGAAGTCTGCAATCACTCTAGAGGGATTTCCCTTGGAATCTCTTACATTGTGTTCCTTGTTTCGTGTTATTATGCCTTTATTTCCTGTTCCTTCCCTCAGCTGGTAGGCAACTCAACTAGAGAGCTGTATCTACTGCCACGGGGGAGAGCACAGTAGTGAGTCAGCAATCCAGGTAGAGAGGCTGGAACTGTGCTTGTGCAAGTCAATCAAATCGTACTCCTGCCAGGCGTGTCCTCACGGACCTGTCTCAGAGGCTGGGCCCGCCCCTTCTTATCCACACAGCTAAGTGAAGCGAATCAGACCAACTTGGCTACCAAGTTTAAAGGAACCCTTCCCTTTTACAGTGTGGATTTAATCTACAACTTAATTAGCAGCAGAGTCTTAGTAAAGCTTTTAGCCTTATTTCCACTATTGCTAAATGGGGACACAGTGGCACTTATCTCACTAGAGTGATCAGCAGTAAATGAAGTTTTTTGGCTTCTTTTTTAAAAAAAAAAAAAAAGATTTATTTTATTTATATGAATACACTGTAGCTGTCTCCAGACACACCAGAAGAGGGCATAGAATCCTATTACAGATGGTTGTGAGCCACCATGTGGTTGCTGGGAAATTGAACTCAGAACCTCTGGAAGAGCAGTCAGTGCTCTTAACCACAGAGCTATCTCTCCAGTCTAGTAAATGAAGTTTTAAACTGCTAAGCATTAACTGTCAAAGGTATAATGTTTGGTGTCTTTATTGATACAAATTCTAATTACATCACCACTAACAATGCAAATATCAACACAAACCATCCCCAGCTGCCCTGCACACGTCAAAGCAGTCACTAGTTATAACACCACTCCTATAGACTCTACATAAATAGAGTAGACCTCCATAGTCCAGCTAACAGTCAAGGTCTTAGAGAACATGAGATGTTGCTTCTGACACTTGATTTTTTGTGTGTGTGACAGACTGTGTGGGAGAGACAAATAATTACTCTCCAATCAATTAAAAATGAGGTGCCTTACAGGGGTGTCTAACCCATGTCTTCTGGGTTGCATGAAGCCTAAAGTTACTTAAAACACTGAGGTTTTTTTCAAAAGGCCTTTTTTTCTATAACCCGACACTGCAGTTCTCTCTCTCTCTCTCTCTCTCTCTTTTTTTTTTTTTTTTTTGGTTTTTCAAGACAGAGTTTCTCTGTGTAGCCCTGGCTGTCCTGGAACTCACTCTGTAGACCAGGCTGGCCTCAAACTCAGAAATCCGCCTGCCTCTGCCTCCCAAGTGCTGGGATTAAAGGTGTGCGCTACCACCACCCAGGTGACAATGCAGTTCTCTCAAGTGTGAACTTTATAGACGATGGCATGTCACAATGTCCAAAGTTGGACGTGCCTGCTGGGAGTGACAGTGAATTCTGAGAGCCACTGTCTCAGTAGTGCTACTTCCAACCCATCCATTCCATGCCTAAGTCTGGGTGCCAGAAGCTTGCCTTTTCCCAAGAGCCAGCCTGAGGATGCCCCTACCTCACTGAGAACCTGGGTCTGGCCTGCTGGCAGCGACGCCTGCTCCCCCGGAGCCTGAACCTCTGAGGCACCAGCCGCTTTCTGTAGATCTTCCGTGGTATCCTTACTGGCTGGAGATACCATCTGTGGCCTCTCAGAGGAAGAAAACATGTCAGTTCAAGAGGTCTTTGAAAAGACATAATCGTTCTGGAGGAACTCTGAAATACAACAACATTCAAAAGACATCCTACCCCGCCTAAGTTCTGCACTTAGGTCCGTGTCACTTTAGCTGACCACTGACTGGCTCACAGTAAGGGCACACAGGCTCCAGACCCACAGCAAACGCACAGGCCAGTCATCAGATGGACTCAGGGTCTGCTTTTCTTTGTTGCAGAGCTCTATTTATTTACTTTAATTGACAAATTTAAAATGCACATGTTTATGGCATACAGTATGATGCTGTGATATACGTAGGTTCTATAAAATTATTAAATGAGTCAACATATTCATTACTCCAGTTTCTGTATTATAAGTATATTCTTAATTTTGAGTATTACTATATTATTACTAAGTCTAGTGACCATGTTAGCAGAGACCTCTTGATCTTACTTATTCTGCCAACATTCCACTCACTGTGTGCCAGGAGGTAATCATCATTCTGCTCTCTCCTTAATATGTGTGTGTGTGTGTGTGTGTGTGTGTGTGTGTGGTGAGAGAGAGAGAGAGAGAGAGAGAGAGAGAGAGAGAGAGAGAGATTGATTGAAGCATTTGCAGGATGCCTGGCTTGTTAGACCGGCACTGAGACCCGAACTCTGGTCTCCAGGACTGATCAGCAACATGCTTCACCACTCAGCCATCCCGCAGCCCAGCTGCTCTCCTCTTCTTTGGGATGGCTTTATGCTTCACTCATTATTAGCTCCAACCAGAATTCTTATACACAGCTGGGACTTCCAGTTGTTTCTACATGAAAGTCAGAGATGAGGCTGCCTAAGCCAGAGACTGGCCACTGAACAGAAAGTGTCTGCTAATTAATCACAAGGACAGATGAGAAATTAACAACAGCTGGGAGGGCTGAGACTTTTTCTGCACTGATGCAGCTGTCCATAGGGTGCCCATCTCCATGTTTCAGTTAAACTCAGTGGTTCACCAAACTATACTTGGGCAGAAATGTTTGTGTCCTCAGTGCTGGACCTGGGGTTAGTGGATGGGTATGTTCATGTCTCCCTAGGAAAAGGTCATGAAATGGGATGAGTTATGCTGCCTTCCATTTCTGCTGGCTTCAGAGAGACCAGAAAATGAGTAAATAGCCAGGGAAGTAGCACAATCCCCAGACCTTTTGAAAAATTATTGCCAATTAGAGTGCCATGGTTTGAATATGCTTGGCCCAGGGAGTGGCACTATTTGGAGGTGTGGTCTTATTGGAGTAAGTGTGTCACTGTGGGCATGGCCTTTGAGACCTTCATCCTAGCTGTCAGGAAGTCAATCTTCCACTAGCAGCCTGCAGTTGAGGATGTAGGACTCTCAGCTCTGCCTTTACCATGCCTGCCTGGATGCTGCCATGTTTCCACCTTGATGTTAATGAACTGAACCTCTGAATCTTGTAAGCCAGCCCCAGTTAAATGTTGTCCTTATAAGACGTGCCTTGGTCATGATGTCTGCTCACAGCAGTCAAACCCTAACTAAGACAAAGAGGTAACATGAATTTTATTTTTAAAGCAGGAGTTATACAAGCATGGTCTGGAGACCCCTGTAGTACTTAGGATCCTTTAGGGGAGTCTGACACATTAAAACTTTCCAGGATACTACTAAAATACCATTTTCTTTTCTGCATTTTCTGAAGTAGGCAGTGGAATTTTCCAGAGACCACATGACATTCAACAGCACAGCAGAGCAAATCAAGACACAGAGGTGAAAGTTCAATTGTCTATTAAACCAGACACTAAAGGGATTTGTACTGTCTTACTGTACCATATTTGCTCTTGAAGTTATTTTTCATTAAAGACATACTATTTATAGTACTATGTAATGAGTTAATTATTGTTTTCAAATGAGTAAAATAGTAATATTATAAGTTTAGGTCTTAATTTCTAATATGATTTTTAAAAATTTGGAGGTCTTTTAAGACAATGTTTTATTCTATTGCCTACACTGACCCCAAACTTGTAGTGATCCCCGCTGTCTCAGCCTCCTGAATGCTAAGACGGCAGGTGTGAGCAACCACACTCAGCTAATATAGTGAAAAGTAAATTCTTTGAGGTCTTCACTAATTCTTCAAAGTGTAAACATCCAAGAGCCCCTGGCTTTTAGACTATCAGTACCACTGTTTTCCTTGGTAGTATAAATAAGAAAATCATTTTCAATTTATTGATTATATCTCCTTCAAAAAAGATAGCCATCTTTTAGAATACCCAAGCCATGGCAGCCCACCTCAGAGCAACCGAGAAAGATGATGACTCAGATCGTTTGCTAAAATCATCTAGTGTATTTGGGAAATGGGTGAACCGATTTTAATTCTTAGAAACCCAGAAACCTCAATCTATTTTTTGTTTGTTTGTTTCGTGTTGTCCCTTTACTAGAAGGCAAGATGTATGCTGGAAACTGGGCCTTATATACCCTCTGTGTGCCTGGTGTTTCAAACCAACCCTGAATAGTAACTTTAGGCTCTCTGAACTCTGACCTTAGCTCCTAGAGTCCCACTTTGCCCACGTCACTCACCAACAGTGACTGCTTGGACCTTCAACAGACCTCGGCACTTCAGGCACACGCCTGTTGGGAGCCTTTGCACTCACTATAGCCTCCAACACAACAACAACAACAAGCTGCCTCTGGTTAACTTACTGCATGCTTCCTTTCCTCAGCTCTTCACTTGAGGATGGCTTTCTGGGAAGGTCCTTGTACAAATGACTTCCCAGCTTCCTTCACTGCACTTACTATGAACTGACATAACGTGCACCACATTCTGTGACTTCGAGATACACATTTGTCTTAAAATTGGACCACAGCTGAAATATTGGGTGTATCAAAGGTATAATGTCAAAGCTTGTACTAAGCTCTCTCTCTCACTGGTCTGTGGGGGCTTATGCCAGTGCTTGGAATACTATCAACTGGAGGAAACTGTTCAAGCGGTCTGTCTAGACCACACTGGACAGAAAACAGTACCTATAGGGTGAGGTTCCTACACTCAGGTTTGTTTTTGGTTTTTTGTTGTTTTTTTGTTTTTTGTTGTTGTTTTTTTTTAACCTCTTACACAGTGCCAAATTAGAGCCATTCATGTTTTCTTGCAGTTGTTTTTTTTCTGGGGGAACAATTCTAGTTTTATCTTCTCACTGATGGTGCAGGCTTTTGATATCCTGGTGTTGGGGACCCTATTAGACTCTAGCTAGAAGCCTTTTTCCTTTCTCAGTTACATATATAGTAGCGCATTTCACAAGTGTGAAACAAGCTACACACTTGTTTTCTGCCTGCCTCCCTCAGCAGGGTGTAAGATCCATGACAATGGTACCCTGGACCATTCGGTCCATCTTCAGGTTTTGGAACCTAGAAGAATCTCAGGTGTACAACAAATGTCTATGGAGTGACAAATAGTAGCCATCTCCTGGTTGTCTGTTGAAGAATGAAAGGATGTGTTAGTTCCTGTTTTGGGAACAAAAGTCATCTTGGATCACACTATCATTTGTGATATCGGGAAAACTGACACTCTCAGAATTCAACAGAATTACTAATCTAATGTTACTGTGTGTTGCATCTAAAACCAACAAGCCTCTTCTGTGCCTGTGTGTACACTACCTTGAACAAACACAGTTTTACTTAAAAAATATTTTTAAGCTTTTGTTTTATGTACATATGTGTATTTAATTGTGTGTGCTATGTAAGTTTTTATGTATGTGCTGTGCAGGTGCACATACTTATGTGTGCATAGAGGCCAGAAGAGAGTGTCAGATGTGACATGTGACCTTCTCAATCACTCTCTGCCTGTTCCTTTGAGGCAGATTCTCTCCCTGAAACTGTGGCTCACATTTCATGTAGGCTAAAAGCCAGCAAGCCCAGCTGATGCTTTTCCCTCTGTTCTCCTCATTGGCAGACACGCCCAAAATATTACATGGGTGCTGGGATCTAAACCCCAGACCTCATGACTACAGAGCAAGTGTTCTTAACCACTAAGCCATCTAGTACCAATTTAAAAATACTTTAGAGAAGGCTTGTAATGTCCACGTGAATTTAATATTCACATTAGAATTTTACGGTCTAAAGAATTAGCAAAAGGTTACTTTGGGAAAGAGAAGTTGCCAATCAGTTGATGCCAGTGATAGACCACGTTTAAAGACAATTAAGTCTTCTAGCTTATGCTGCCCGAGAACAGGGAGACTAGCCTGAAGGACGGGGAGAAGCTGGACAGACAGACAGCCTCACTTGAAAAGCCAGAAAGCTACGTTGTTTCCATTTCCCACAGAAACTAAACACAGGTGCAGGGCTTCGACCCTCGTGCACAGGAGCTTTACTCCCAAACTTATAAACAAAACTTTAAAATAAAATCATTTTGTCTGTGTTATGTGATTCTGAAGAAACTTTCGATAAACCAGTTCTCTGCTCTAGATCCATCTAGACCCCCTCACACCTAAGAGACGGGGACAGGAAGATGAAAAGTCCCTAGCATTAGGGAAGGTCATGAGCATAAACTACTCGCTGTCATTAGAACCTTGAGGGGCTGGAGAGATGCCTCAGAAGTTAAGAGCACTGGCTGCTCCTCCAGAAGACCCAAGTTTGATTCCAAGAACTCACATGGTGGTTCACAACTGTCTGTGACTCCAATACTTTCCTCTAGCCTCTGTGGACTTCAGGCATGCTTATGGTACACAGAGATACTTACACCCGCACACAGAACAAGAAACCCTTGAGGAAGACTTCTGCATATAACAGCACAGCCTTTTTAAGCGCAGAACATAGCTCTCTACCATCAGTCATGACGAGGAGCTACGGCTGTGGGACCCGGCACCAAGTACAGAGTCTCCATTTCACTCTCCTCACTTTAACAACAGGGAAGGATACCTATTTCATTGTGGTTACAAGGACTGAAGAGATAATACATTTTAAACCATAGTACTTAGCAAACCACTATTTCATAAAACATCATTTCTATTACTACTGAGAAACATTCCACAAAGCATGGTTACTTATTACATTATCTCCAACTACGTTGTAAATTATTTCATATGCAGAAGAGAAAGAACTGAATACATCTCCAGAAGCATGAGATGTTTAAAACTACCTTCACACCTCTTTTGCCCCCAGCCGTGTTTGTGTGGGCCATGGAGACCACAGGCTCTCCCAGGCAGCACTGCACAGGAACTGAGTAGCTGGATTAGGACACTTGGTGAAGGCAGACTTCCATGTTCCACTCGTGATTCATGGCTTCCTCACATGCTACGACTCAGTATGACCCTTCCTTTCTACTACATGCACTATCAGCGACAGTGGGCAGATGAGCCCGCCACCCTAGTGCTGAGAGATGAGTCAGTTAAGAGCACTTGTCGCTCTTTAACAGGAACTCAGATTGGTTCCCAGCACTCAGCTCGGGGCAGTTCACAGCTACCTAGAACCCTAGCTCCAGGGAGTATGAGTCCCTCTTCTGGTTCCTGTAGGCGCTAGATATGCACATGTACACATATATACATGAAGGCACTCACACATACACATAACATAAAAATACACAGCATAAAAAGAATGGCAACCTAGAGGTGATGATGTTTAATCTGAAAATAACATCTAAAAAACTGCAAGTGCCTCACCTCTTACTGCCACTTCCCTCATCAGTTCCTTCAATCTCAGGACAAATCTCCCAGAAACATCTTATCCCAAGCAGTTGCTTGTCCCTACCTGTAGGGTGAGGACTGGGGTGCTGGGTCAGAGGCAGAAGCCAGTAGAGAGTTGACTTTGGTGCTTTCCAGATCTTCCTTCTCTAGAAAATCATGGGAAGAATTTGATACGTGAGAGGAAACACTAGCAAGCACACACATATAATTCAGTTCTTGAGAGGCTGAGGCAGGAAGATCAGGAGTTCAAGGCCAGCCATAGCTACATAAAGAGTCTGAGGCCAGCCTGGGATACCTGAGACACTTTCTAAAGAGAACAGTCATTGTGTAAAGCACATCTGTATCTCATCCTATATAAAAATCAGTTCCAGGGGCTGGCGAGCTGGCCCAGAGGTTAAAAGCACTGGCTGTTCTTCCAGAGCACCTGCGTTCAGTTCCTAACACCCATGGCAGAGCACAAAGATCTGTAACTCCAACTCCAGGGCATCCAGTACTTTCTCCTTGCCTCCAAGGGACACTGCATATGTGTGGTGCACTTCTGTACACACTGGCACTAATACTGCTACACATAAAATAAAAACAAAATCGTTTTAAAAATCAGTTAGAAATAGTTCAAAGATCTTTGTATAAGAATAAAAAAATTGAAATTGCTACAGGAAGCAAAAATTCAAGATCCAGGCATAGCAACAGTTTTTTGAAAAGGTCCAAGAGCCCAGGGAATGCTAGCAAGTATTAACAAATGGAGTTGCAAGGAATTGAAAGGCTTCCACACAACAGAGAAACAATTTTCACAGTAAAGACAGCCTACCAGGAGGGGATTAATGTCAAGTATAAACACACACACAGACACACACAGACACATACATAGTCTAAATAGTACATGGGCAAATGAACAGATAGTTCTCAAAACAAGAGGTACACATAGCCAATTAGTAGCCAAAGAAAAAAAAAAGCACAACACCCTTAGCCATCAGGAAAATGCAAATCAAAACTACAACGAGATTTGATTTCTTCTAGGTTGGAATTGAGACAGTCAAACAAAAAACCCACAAAGTAACAAAAGCTTGTGAGGAGGCAGGTGGCTTGTTTATATATTGCTGGTGAGGACAGAAAGTAGTAAAACCACTATGGAGATCAGTATGAGTCTTCAAACAAAGGAAGATAGGAGGACCAGAGTGGTTAAGAGCACTTGCTACAAACTCAGGAGGAGGACTGCAGTCTGGACCTCAGCTCCCATATGACAAGCCAGCCATCCCATGTACCCTGTAACTCTGGCTCCAAGGAAGATGGAGACAGGAGCATTGCTGGAACTTCTGGCTTCATCCTAGCCAAGAAAATGAGAGCTCCAGGTTCAGAGAGCGATCCTGATGCCTAAGAATAGACAGAGTGTAACAAAGAATACCTATTACCCTCTTCTGGCCTCCCTTCACACACATACATACACGGACACATAAATTAACCAACTAACTAACCAACTAAAAGCAGAACTACCATATGCTCTAGATATACCACTACTGGGTAACTGACCCACAGGAATCTAAGTCAGCACATTCTGGGGATACCTGCAAACACATTTATCGCAAAACTAGCCAAGTTACAGAACTGGATGCCCATCTGATAAATAAAGAAAACATGATACACGACGGCACATACAATTGATTTTTCTTTTTTTCCTGTGTATGTGTGTACAGTGTCCGTGTGTGGATGAATCTGTATTCACATGTGTAGACACATGCATGTGTATGCATGAGTGTGGACACCTTAGGCTAACAGCAGGCATCTTCCTAGAGTGCTCTCCACTATTTCTTGAGGATTCTTTTTTTTTTTTTAAGTGTATTTATTTAATGTATGAGTGCTCTGTTGCATATACATCCACAGGCCAGAAGAGAGTATCAGATCCCATTACAGATGGTTGTGATCCACCATGCGGTTGCTGGGAATTGAATTCGGGAACCCTGGAAGAGCAACCAGTGCTCTTAACCGGTGAGCCATCTCTCCAGCCCTCTTGAGGATTCTTAATCATCTTTCTGGCTTACTCCTTGAGCCCTTGCTTGTATACACAGGTCAGTGCATTTATACATTCCCTATTAAGTCCTTCTGCTTAAGGTCAAAGAAACTGAAGCTCCGAGTCTACTTCCTAATACAAAATACAATGTAACAAAGTATGTCCCAAACACTGAGAGGCTGTAGAAACATCAAAGTGAAGACAAGGGCAAGTGTTTATGATTTAACCTTGGTCCAGTCTCACTTTTCCATGTCAGGATCTCATTGTTCTTTATGCCGACTGGCATTCTCACCCCCCAGAAAAACTGTTCAGCTCCTGTCACCCTGCGTTCCTCTCCTGATGCTCCCATCTGCAGCTCAATCCCACTGAGCTATCAGGCTCACAAGTGTCTCCCCTGTGCAGACTCGGAAAGCTGCTTCTGACTGAGTTCTACTCTTTGTCTCTCCTCCCCCAAGATCTGATTAAACATCCACACTGCCCACTCAGCCCCTCTCCCCAGGCTGCCTTCTCCACCTCAGGCGGGTCTGCCTTCCCACTGTTTCACTCAAAGGAAGGAACTGAAACACACAGCTTCCCTCTACCACATCCTCAGTGTCTCTTAATCCTTGTGGAGTTCACTAACTGCACAGTTCTGAGAATAACACTATCCAGACACTTTTTGTTTTTTTTTTTTAACTGTAAATTTGTTCTAAATACATCAATCAGGTTTCCCTTAGCTTCTAAACATAAACTCTAAGTCTACTCCCTGTTGTGCTCTATTTTTGAGATAAACTTTGGAAAATAATGGAATTTTAAACTTAAATTTAGAGTTTATACACTCGTATTATCAATCCAAATTATTTTTTAAGTTGCACTCAGAACTGTTTATTGTAGAATAAATAAATACAGATAAAAATCCCATTCATTATACAATTTATTTTCTTTAAAACATTTTAATAGTCTATTTTTAGAAAAATCAAAACATACAGAGAAGCGAAATAACCACAAAGCAAGAGACATCAGGCATAAATCTACTAAACCAAGACAACCACTGTTAACTATTTGATGCACAGAATTTCAGAAATGTATTTGTACATGTAAACAAGGTTTGTATGTAGTGTGTACGTGTGTCTCTATGTGCACGGTTGCCCTGCTCAGGCCTGCAAGGCTCTTCAGTGTCTGTTCCTAACAGATACTAATCAGATGCTAGCGAGTATCTGCCATGCACTTGTTTTGAGGTTGATAAGAAAAGGGACATACCACTTCCCCAATGGCTGTACCTTTCATCTAATGACTTTGGCAAATATCCACGATCAGTGTCTAGAACCGTCTAATTCCATTAGAATCTAAAAAATGCTTTTCCCCTAGACTAGCACTTTAAATGTGTATTAGTGCAAATTCTTCTACCAGAAAAAGATTCCCCTCCATGCATTACATGGCTACTCATAAATTACATGGGAGACTCATAAAAGAAAGGCAGAGCTAGGTGTGCTTGATGCTCACAGGAGATTTGGGAGCTTGAACTCAAGGCCAGCATCAGCTACACAGTGAGACAACAATACTATTGAGACAACAATAAAACTAACCAAAAGGAGATAAAAAGTGGGGAAGGCAGAGGGTTAACTCTGCATCGATTGGCAAAATACTTAGAAAAACAGGTAAACAATGACTGTTAGGTATCATTAAGGCACATACTTTAATGTATTTCTGTTCACATTTCCCTAGCCTTGTCCAGTGATAGCTCCTTAAAGGGGCTCTCGACTGGATCCATCAGCTGTGCTTATGACTTAAGTTTCAGGCTCACCTTACCAAGTCCCAGCTCAGACCTGGAGGCAAACACTGCTCTAAGGAGCACCAGCTCTTTCTCCTGGGATGCTCATGAATGGGATGACTCCATTAGCACCTGAGTGCGAAGCTAGTGAAAGAATGAGTTCAGCTTCCCTTCCCCCAACTTCTCTATCACCTGTTTTTTTTTTGTTTTGTTTTGTTTTTGTTTTTTGCCTTTTGGCCAGTGGCCAAGAGCAAAAAGGCTATTGCTGGATGTGACCTTGGATTTCTTCTAGAACTGCAATAAAGCTTTGTTCATGATAAATTATCCAATTTCAGGCTGAGGAAGGTAGAATGCTTGCCTAGAGTGAACAAGGCCCTTGATTCAATCTTGCATGGCAAGGGAGACAGGAGAGGCTCAACGACACAGCTCAAAGGGAGGCCCTGCCTCACATGCCTAAACTGAGTTAAATTTTGAATGCTGAAAAACTGAGAGTATAAATTATCCAACCTCGTTACAGCAGCACAAAATGGACTGAGACATATATGAAGACACACACATCATGATGTTTACAAGTACTGCACCTCAGATGTATGAACTACATACATAGGCTGCAGGTGAAAGGGTGAGAAAGGATATTCCATGCAAACGGTAACCAAGAGAGTGCAGGTGGCTAGACCTGTGTGAGGTAACATGGATTCAAGCTGGACATGGTGATGAACTTCTATAATCCCCAAATTTGAGATGGTGAGGACTGTTGCAAATTCAACACCAACCTGGGTCACAAGACCTTGTCTCAAAAACCCACAAGACTCTATAAAACCAAGAATCAACTGATAAAACACACACATATATGCATATATATCTCAAGCCCAAAGGTGTCACAAGGGACAAACAAGGCTATTACTTAATGATAAAGTAGTCAATTGTTCATGAGAACATACTAACTTAGAAGGCTGAGGCAGGAGAATCAAGAATTTGAAGCTGAACTGAGGTTATAGGGTGACCCTGTCTCAAAAAGCCACAAAAACAAAACAAGTAACAGTATTTCAAGAGCCTAATATTATTTCATGTGTGTTTTAAGATTAAATAGTTGATTAATGTGGTAGTCTGAATATGCTTGACCCAGGGAGTGACACTATTAGGAGGTGTGGCCTTGTTGGAGAAGTATGTCACTAGGGGATGGGCTTTGAGGCTCCTATACTCAGGCTCCACCCAATGTGGAATTAGAGTCTCCTCTTGGCTGCCTGTGGATCACGATGTAGGACTCTTGGCTCCTTCAGCACCATGTCTGCCTGCCTGCTGCCATGCTTCCCGCCATGATGATAACAAATCTCTGAACCTGTAAGCCAGCCCCAATTAAATGCTGTCCTTTATAAGAGTTGCCTTGGTCA